ATTACTTCGCTGCTCTATTTTTTGAATTTGCAAATTTCACTAAGAAAAAATCCACCTATTTTTTATTTCTTTATTTTATAACATTATTTTTAATTACTCATGAATGAAAGTATTTATAAATAATATTATTAACGCTCACCATTTCTGGTTAGGTGCTATTTATGTTTGAATAATGTGAAATTTTTATCAGAGCTTCACTTAATTATAGATTATGAGTTTCCAGCCATCTGGGTTTTCTAATGCTGATTCACTCGTGTCGGAGATAATATAACAACAATAAAGTTAATGCGATAACCTGAACACCTGAGCAATAACCACTCGAATACCCTGATTATTAATAATTGAATGAAACCACTGAGATCTAAGTAAATGTAGAAAGAAATTTTATTCATTAGTCTTTTTCTTCCTTCTGAAGAGCAATTCCGAATCCTTTAACATTAAATATTATTGTGTTTTAGCGATGGTATGGCACAATTTTTCAATATCTTTCGTAGATCTTTTAATTTCAATCCCTAAAATACGCCATATATCGGATGTTGTTGATGATGATGGCATTCTAGGTTAACAGAATTCAGGTCGATCGGAGTTCTAAACACTTCATCGGCTATCTTCGACGGCTTGCGATTTTCTAACTTGATTTTCTCTTTTCTTCGCCACTCATTTTATCATTTTTCCATAGAGTTGTTGTATTCAAAATATCCTTTATATTTTTCTATTTTCCAACTTTATCAAATAAAAAATTTGGAACTAAATACTTTAATTTTATACTCATTTTCTTCAAAAATTTTGTATTCAGTTAAGTTACCATCATCAACGACCATTGCTATGATGATTTCATTCCTTTCATTATTTTTCGTTATTTGGCAGTTTCATTGGTTTAACTTCGCTTAAAACTAAAAGTTTCTATTATTATATATATTATAATAATTATATATATATATAATAATTATTATTATAATAATATATTTATTGTTTAAGACCCAAAAATTATTTCTGAGATAGTATGATAAAATATTATTGAAATCATAGATTTCACTTATATCATAACTTTTTCAATCGTATCGTGCTTATACATCAATCAGAATAAAGTTTTAGATCCTAAAAGAAATCACCAAAAAAAAGTCAGTGCTTGTTTGCCCTTAGCCCTTAGTTTTTATGCAACTAAAACGATACAACAATAATAATAATAGAGAATTTCAATGTGCAATAAATTGATATTGGGGTGAATATAAAAATGAAAAATTTGACAAATTAGCCTATTCAATTTCAGATGAATGCATGCAAAATTGTAATATCAAAAATCCTGAGAAACTTAAGGATCTCAAGACAACATAATATCTATTTTTTGCAGAGGCGTTGCTTTAAACCTTTAGAGTGTTTACTATGCTAAAAATTTAAATCTGCATGTAGGATAATTAAGTAAGGGTAAGATAGCCGACATGGATATTGGATCTTGATAATGGATATTAGTTTTGGAGGCAATAATTCAGCTTCTACCCTCCGATAGGAATAATCCTGCCTTTAAAAAACTTTTATGGCGACCTCCTAATTTTATCGCCAAGTCTCTGGCAAATTTTCTGATCATACTAACAACCAGCTGAAATAACTAAGTTAAAAATGATAAGCGTTAACCATTAACTTTTTAATTGAAGTTGAAAAAAATTTGAATTCCCTTTCCATCGATTGAACACAGATTTTTCTTCTTTTAGCACTCAAATTTTTTCTCCAGAGATCCACGTGAGAACAAAAACGCAGATGGGCTCCACAACACGATTTCTCTTTCAATGGCAGGTTTGCTTTTAAGAGTAAGAAGAGTAAAGAGTAAAAATCAAGCCCATGAACTGAAATAAGTCGAGGAAGCATACCACTCAACGATCCTATCTTTAATTATCAATTAAGAATGACAAGTGAACTAAGTTAATGCATTCTGTTAATTAAGTATTAATTAAATTAAATAAAATACAATCGGTGACTTTTCGCTATATTGGGCTAATCAAATAAAAAGAACAAATGACCTGCATTTCTTAATGTTCCTAATTTATAATGATAAAGATTAGAAATAATTAATCATCTTCTTAACCATATTCATAATGATCTGTTTAAAAAACAAATCCTTTTTTCAAAAAATTTAAGAATTTTAGAAAAATGGAGGAAATTTTCCATCAAATGGTTCAGTTAAAAATTCTCCCACTTTCTACGATTTCTGCATTTTTCCTGACATCAGAGGAGCTTATAGTAAATCCGGATCTTATTTCTTAGCAAAACCAATTCGATAGCTGTTTGATATTTTCATTTACGAAAAACTTCAAAAAATTTGCTGAAATCTGATGTTGCAAATTGAATATTGAGTAGTATAGCAAACTGAATATTGAGGAATCCAAATCTTCGTTCGACAATCCATTTTTAATTGTTTAAGGACTTTTAATGTGATAGAATTGTGAATGATCTCCATTTAGCATTAAGGCATTTGCCTATGGTTTATGAATAAAGTCTGATGTTGAAAATTATTCGCCTAATTCATTTTACAACCTGAATGACCGAAAGAATCCAAAACTTATAGTTTAAATAAGTTCCTAACAATTCTCCTAGAGAGAAAAATCTTTAGAAACCTAGAAAATTTGTCGATCCGGTACTTTGTTAGACAGCTTTTGAATTTCGTTATACGTGACAGAAATAGGAACAAATCTCTGCGTGCATCAAGAGCATACTGGTCAAATTTAGGTCAATGATGTCCTGCTTTCTAATGACCGCCACAATCACTAATAATACCACACAAACAATCATTAGGCCATAGCGATCTCTTCGATTCTCTAGTTTAATGTCTCATTTTTGAAGAGCTGTTCATGATGAATTTGAAAAAGTCTTTGCCTAATTTTCTTGTCGCCTAAATTCGATTTTCGGCATCTGTTTTTTCTCTCATTTTCCTTTTGAAATATATTCTTTCTTATTTGTTGAATTATCCACGAAATGATTAAAAATATGGAGAAAAAAAACAATCCAAATACTATTTTCTGCTATGAAACAAAGTGGTCGAATAATAATATTTAACCGGATACATGTATTTAATCTCAACCTTAGCCGTGCTCTTCTCAAATGATTGTATATTTTCTTACTTTTTATGCTTTTTTCTGTTTTTATCTTGAGAAAGATCATAGACATTTTAATAAACTTTTTATTAGCCAGTGCAAATTTCATCCGATTTCAAAATTACCCGGAAAAAGCAAAGCAATGACAGGCTAGTTCGCTCCATGCGAAAAATATTTTTTCACTCTTTTGTAGTATTCTTTATTTTCTTTATTAAACAAGGAAAAATCAGATATATTTTGAATAAAATGCATATTTGAGAATTGCGACACGAAAAATAACCAAGTGATGGACAACTGGGAGCAAACCATTGGGAAAAAGGATATCCTTCCCACTAAAAGATTAAGAGAAATGAAGTTATGATAAAGTAGTCAATTCATTCGTTAGAAAAGAAAACAGTGAAATAAATTTGCGTCCATTTCATTGGCTCTAAAATAATTATTGAACAATCAAGCAAATCAGTATCATTATAAGCCATTAAGCAAATGGTCATCTTTTCTGATTAAACTAACTCTACCTTAGAAGAATAACGCAAATTTGTTATGGAAATATTGGAAGATCGAAGTAAATCCAACTGGATTTTTTAATAAAAAATTTACTTTTATCTAGAGCAAAGGCCATTTCGTAATAGTCAAAATGACAATCTGACTATTTGCTAATTTATCCCAACCATAAGGATTGTAAATTCATCCGACATACTTTTTTTGCTTTTTCTTAATCTATTAATTTTACTCGAATCATTATCAATAAAGAAGATAAATAATCTATTTCAGCAAAATAAGTCACTACTAGCAAATTACTAGAAATTATCTAGGTCATTCAAAATAAAAATTGCTGTGGCCCAATGGTTGCGGAAGCGAGATTTATTTCCGGAAGTTTATTCAAAAAAACTTTTTCGTTAACCAAATTCTAAAGACCCTCAAGCCTTCAAAAATAATAATTTTTTATGCATAATTTTTTGTATAATTGTTTAAAATGTTATAACGGATTAAAAAATATTGCAAAAATTGTTGTCAAGTGAACCCCAGTATAAATCTAAATCTTATTTATGAGATGTTTGTTTGGAAAAATAAATTATTGATAAATCATATGGCCCTAGGGAATAAGTGCTAAATACCGGTAGGAATCATAATGGGGTCAAATGCCTCACTCACGCTCTCTCATCTAAGTACACACAAAAAATTCTTTGATAAGTGCTTCATTTTATTTTCATCATATATTTTTTGCTCCTGTTTTACCATCTTTTACGTTTTATTATTTTTTGCCAGGTAAATTGCTAACTTTCATTTCATATTTTTTTGGTTTATGATAAGGCAAGATTTTTTTTTGAATTCATAGAAAATTTTCCGGTATAAAGTTTAAAACATAAATTAATTATCTCTTCATCACTTCTGGGTAAGCTTACATCACAGGCTATGTAGAATGAATCATTTGGGAATACAGTTACAATTGGATCCGCAGCCCTCCCCTAATTGAAATAAAAATCTCACTATGTATAAAAATTAGAATTCTATGATTCTAAGACTTTCTTTCAAAAAAACAAGAAAATTGGTTCCAAACTAATTAAATCCATTTTGCTTCGGCGTATATTAACGTTATTTAAAGGCAATTTGCGAAGGCTTTATTGAGAGCAATGGCCAATTTATAAAATACTTTTGGAAATAGAAAACTTGTAGACCGAAATTTTAGAAAGGAAACATTTTATAACATCGGTTTTTCCTGTTATCGCCGTATCTGCTTTTGAATTTCGCCATATCACGATTAATGTTCGTTCCATTTGGAGATTCCACTATTCAGCAGAGTTGTATTTTGCCGATGAACAGCCATAATGTAATGGAAATGATAGTTTTTTCTTTCCAGAAAAATTGGTTTCCCAAACTAACACATGGCTAATTTTTCTCAAAATTTTTGAAATAATGGATACATTAATATTAAATGCTGGTCATTCCCAACTCGAAGAGCAATTAAAAATTGCGGCCAAATGCGGAATGGCTGAACAGCAGGGTGTTGATGAGGAAATGGAAGACGATGATGAATTGGTCGCCGGTGATTCAACCGAAAATGAGAAGACTTCATGGGTTAAAGGTTTTATTTTATGGATAAATTAGCAATTTTTGTGACAGTTTTTCATCAGAAAATTAAAACAATGACAACTATTCTAACGAAGCTTGGATTTAGTTTTAGTTAGTCGAAGTATTTTAAATTCATTACGACGAAACATTAGGTTAAATGGAATTTTGCTCTTCTTGATTTATCGAAACATTTTAGTAAAAAATTTAAACCAAATCAGATAATTCGACGGATTCGGCAACATCATCTGATCGTAATGAAATAGCTGAATCGCCATCACCTTCATCGAAGAAGAGAATGCTTGGAGATGATCTTGTAAAAACTCTAAAGCAAATAAGTAAACAGGTACTTTTACAGCGAGAACTTTTCGAGATTAAAAGCGAATATAGCAAGTTGAAATGAATCATCTTTCTGAATATTTTTGCGAAAATTCAGCAAAATTAGTTGAAATGATTTAAAACGCAAATAGCTATCTGGTTGCTGCAGATTCCCTGTCGCGCAGTTGTTGTAGAAAAGAAAATTAATTCATTTGCTCGATTTCTTGAATAATGAATCCAATGAAAAATAATGAAAATATAAGTGCTTATATTCGGATTTGTTCTTGATTAATATTAATAATATTCTTATACAGCAGACGACTCATATTGTTTCAAATACCAGCCCGACCTTTTCCAGCCATGTGGTTAATTACCGAAGTGAGCTTAAGCGACCTGACTTAAAAGGTACAATATTACTTTAACACTATAAATTAATTTGAGTAAAGATATTTTTATAGAATTTCTCGATTTTAAAAATTGGCAATGATGGAATTTTAGCGGATTTGAAAAAATGTTCTTGTAAAAAATATTAGTTTTAGGAACATTTCGTTGTTCGATATGTTCAAAAATCTTTTGCCATTCATCATCGTTAAGCAGACATCGTATGCAAGCGCATTTTAAAAGTTATACTTGTACTTTATGTTGCAAGGAAATTACAAGTATTTTATTTTTTAAGAATAATTTTTATTTTTCTATCATTTAGGGTATTTAGGATATTTATTTTAATATTTCATCTGTATTGCCATCTTTATACAGATTTATTTTTTTTTAAACATCAGTACTTTGATCATATAAGTTATAAGATATTTCTTCAATTGCGATATGGAAAAAAGCCTTTGGTTAAGCCGCTGGATCGATCGGAGTTATAATTCTTTGACAACTTTTTACCTATTCTTTTTTTTTCTTCGACTAGAATTAGATCTAGAGAGCCATTTGGGAATAGAAACGGATCGTCAGCATCACCTGAATTTCACTTTTAATGACAAGCTGGCACCAATGGATAGGAACCAACAGTGGACTTATGGTGCCTTAAAATAATCGAAACCACACTACTCGGCTATCTTATCATAAAGGCTTCATTTATTTAATATTTTTAATCTTTTTATTTTCGCTAGAGTAACATAGTATAAAAGTTATAAACGTTTTTCATCACATTAGCCATTAATTATTTTGATTTAAGTCAGGATGCCCATTCGTATTTTTGCGATGTTCTTCTCTAAACTTGGTGATATTGAAATAATTTAGCTTTTCCGACGCATTAATTCTATTTAGTCTCTTTCGAAATGTCTTCTTGCAAAAGATCTTTTCTATCTCTTAATTTTGGTATATGGTATTCTTTAATCGTAGTGACACACTTTTATAGTATTCAACAGAAAGATAAGTGGTATATAATGCATTTGGGGTCAAAATATCTGGTTTTTAAGTGAGTACATTACAATTCTAATTTATACTTATACTTATTTACAAATCAGTTGGTAAGGGATATTTCTGTGATGATGATATTATGGCATAAAAAATAATTAATAATAATAAATAATAGTTTTTCATTGATAATATCATGAATGTACGTAAGTATCTTACTGGCAATATGGTTGAAAATAATATGTCGAGTTCGAATCCAGCATGCCACGCTTGGAAATAAAAAGTATTTTTGAAGCCGAGCACAAAAGCCATTGAGTTCGCAAATCAAATATAGATTCGAATTACCAACTCAAAATAATTCAACTCAATTCGATTCAATGATTCAATTCAAAAAAGCTAAATTTACGGCAACAAGACGAAAAGCGAACCGAATCTTAAAAAGTAGTTTTTGCATTTGCAGTTTGGTGATAGATACTTATAATGGACAATAAATGTGATTGGGAGTCGAAAAACATTGCAGAACATAAGATTTATTGATGAAAATATCCTCATCTATGAATGAAGGGAATACTAAATACTACATAGACAAATTATGCAGTAAGTGGTTAACGCTCATTTCTGGGTTCAAATTGTTGTAACTGGCTTACGGTTAGATATTTTTATTTTTATCAGAGATTATCAGAGATTACCAATATATTATCTTGAAGAGAAGCAAGATTTCAGCTTGTACGACAGGAGTCTATCATTAAAAAATCTGGATGCTGTTGGCTATCCACCTGCACTCCTATTCCTAACGAAATTTATTTGGGCAATGGAGTGAGCCTAATCAAAGATGTAAGCCCTTTTAGAAAAAAACAGAAAAATTTCTAATTAGAGATATTCGGAACATCCTAATTTTTTTGGAGGATTTTTTAAATTGCATTTTCATTCACCGGATTTTGCTTGAGAAATGTGACAAAGCCAATTTTGCGATTTTTGAAGTAGTGATTGATGAATTTAATTGCTCAAAAGATTTCGCCCCAATTTTAATTTTTTTTCTTTTTGTTCAAACAAAACCAAAATTCGTTTCGATTTAGAAAAATTGTTTTGCTGAAAAGGATGCGGTGATAGGAGAAATGTTGATTTGTCGACAGTTGTCATTATTGTTCATTTTGCATAAGAATAACTGGAATGGGCATTTCATAAAATCTGGTAGCCAGAGGCTTTCTCTTTTTCCAGACTTTCCATAAAATAAATAAGTGACCGGTTAAATAAAAATAGGCTAAGAATAGAGGAAAAAATTTTACTCGAAAAAAAAATTGTCGTTAAATTCAAATTCAGTAGAATCCGAATACCATTCACTGAGCCGAATGAATTTTTTATGAATACTTGTCGTAAAAATGGCGAACTTCAAACATCATTTAGTGGTTTTTAATGGCGATTTTCAGTATTCAGTATTTGAAATGGCAATATGGCCCAGTGATATTTTGCCTCGACTGCGATCATTACTTAGAAATGGCAATATGGCCTAGTGATATTTTGCCTCGACTGCGATCATCACGGATTAAAAATGAAATTCGGATGAAGGAAGTCCAGCTCTAGGCAAATTCTTTGGCGAAAAAATCCTACCTTAATGGGCAATAGAGCCGGTAAAACCAAAAAAGTCTTATTGGAAGATGAATAAGAAGTTACAAATAGATAATTCTGAACGCTTAATTTTTTTGAACATTTTTTCTTTTTTTTGGTGTATAAAAATTTTTTAAATATTTAAATCCTCTCAACTATTTAGCAATGGAATTTCATTATTCCATTTAATTTCTCTCCGAAAAATTAGCAAAAAACCAATGAAGAAATATACAAAATAACGGTGAGAATTTTCATGGAGGAAGATTTATTGAGATTTTGTTCTGTTCGTCGGAATTGTCCTGAAAATGACGAACTTCAAGCATCATATATCGGATTACAACCAAATTTAAGGAAATTTAATTTCTATTAATTATCTATAAGATGACGTTAGAGAATAAAATCGACCGAAATTTTAGAAAATGCTAAGCCAGAAAGGATTTCAGGTGCCTTTTATCTGAAAACTGACATTTGTTAAACAAGTTTTAGTGAAAAACTAGAAATAAAATTTAATAAAACTAATTAATCTATGATTTATTATTTGTCGAAGCCAAAATGCATTTCACCTTTGAAAAATCTGATATACATATAAAAATAAATTTTATTTTTTTTTAAATTTAAATTTTAAATTTTTTCTATATTATTACTGTTTCTTCCATTTATTTTTGTTATTAATCATAGTGTGTAAATGGTTAAGCACCCATTATTTCACCATTTCGGATTAGGCTCACCCCATGCTTTTTTTGCTATGAAATATATTTCAGGATTCAAGAAATATTTATAAGATTTACTATTAGGACCTTTTCGCCAGAAAATCATTATGACACAGAAGTAATAGAATTACATATGGATTGCCAGTCGGTCTTTCGTAATGATAGGTTCGCTCTTTTCAGCGTTCAAGAACGATAGTCTGAGTGGCAATTACTCGACTATCCTGTTTCCTGGTATAAAATTGGATTTAAGAAAAAATTATAATAAAAAAAATTAAAGTCTATTGAGATATAACAAAGCAAAAATCTATTTTGCTAAGATATAGGAATTTGCAATTTTTGACTAATTACTTTTACAAAATCAAACAAAAAAAGAAAAGCATCTTCCTAGGCATTTTTCTTATTTATTAATTATAATAATATTTGGCTATAAAATTTTTCCATATTCTCTATTTATTATTTTCCTTTAGCGATTTTATTTCGATTTTTCTGAGATAAATTATGCAGATTTATACTTGAGAGAATATATGCTGTGATTTTTCTATAGGACAAGCAGTTATTATTAATATAGGTAGATGATCGATCATCTTCCGAACTTGAAAAATTTCTCGACTCTGCCAATAAATTTGCACGAATAAATATATACTAATATACTTTTTTTACTAATCAAGTCTGTTTAATTTTACATTGCACAATAAAAAATTGGTTAAAAGAGGCTTACTTCAGCGTTCTTTTCCTTCTTTTAGAGCTAAAAATTTCTGATTTAGGATTCCTCATTCAAGAAATATTCATAAGATTTACTATTAGGACCTTTTCGTCAGAAAATCATAATGACATATAGATGGGTTTTCAGTATCACCTTTTCCTGTAAATTCCACATATTTATTATTTATTTATGTTAATAAAGAAATCCATAATCGCGATAGAATATTCCTTAATTTCTTTCTTATATAAATATTTTATAATATTTTTCTAAATATAAATTTTTTATATTTTTTTTTAATATTTGTGCTGATTTGTTCCTGTCTTCTCTTTCCAAATTTTCCTTCATTTGAATGTACCCAAAATTTCTGATCTTATTGGTTCTATAGGTTATTAGGGTAAAAACCCTTTATCAGAGGGCCATTAGGGAATAGAAATACAGGTAGTTCCTTAAAGCCATTCAGATTTCACTTTTTAATGATTTCCTTGATTCTTTCCTAATGGTTTCGTTTCGATTATATAAAGCTTAATTTTAGTTATTTTCAACATTATTGGTATTTCACCTTTTTGTGCCAAAATCGAATCAAATTTTAAGTTGACATTGTAACATTTTTTCCCTAGAATTGACAATAGATGATTACATAGTTGATAAGAGAGAAAGAACACACGGAATTCGCGTATATGATATAATCATTTGATCCGTTTCCTTTAGAAACTTTCTCAGAAGTTTTCATCTTATTTATAGCTTCGGGCGTTTTTCATGATATTTAATGAAGAACATATTCTCTTTATCATTGTTTACCAGATTCGCTTCGCAAAACGCGATTTTCACGCGCGCATAATTTTCCTGTATTCTCTATAACTGCAAAACTTTCCGCAAAAAAGGAAATTATCGCCGACGACAAAGAAGAATGCACATTACAATTGGAAAGAGAATGTAATCGTCACCGTAGAGTGGATGAGGAACCACTGGTTTCTTAATAATATTAATGAAGAGCTGCGGTCAAACAACGGCGAAATCGTCCATTGATAGATGGAAAAGAAAGATATCTCGGACCAATCTAAAAATTAGTTTTGCCTAAAATAAGTGCCTTATCGAATATGTTCCGCCAACAACTTTGTATAGGGAAAAACGTAAGTGGACAACATCGAGCAGGGTTTTTTTATTATTCACATTAGTCTGAAACTTGTTTCGAGAATGTTTCAGAAATATTCTTCATTTGTTCCAAATTTGGAAATTTAATCCGACGTCTTATAAACTACGATCTGTTTCTAGAAAATCCTGTAAAATCAATTTTTTCTCGCGCCCCCGACAAGGAATCCTTTAATTGTTTTCATTTGGCGATGACCAGCTTCTAATCGTCCACTGCGCATCTTCATTCGCTCTATCCTATTCACTGCTCTCTTGATTTAATTGAATTTTTTTGAGTTGAACCACGCGAACTTTATTCCTTCTATTCCATTCTATATTTAGAGACTATAACCCAGCAATGTGGTTCAGTTCATAATGGTTCAGTTTTTGCAATGAGTATTTAGCACTGAACAATAACATTGTTGCTTCCATTCTATTCGTCATTCTGAGCAATTATTGTATGGCTTCTGAGCAATTATTGTATGGCTTGTATAATAATGCTCCATATATAAAAATATACTGAAGTGAATTCGACAGTTTCATATTGCTTTGTTGGTCGTCAAGATATAAATGTCAGTAAATGTCAGTATTTTAATTCAATTCACATAGGTTCGCTGTTAATGGTCACACGGCGACCTGAAGCTCTATTGGGAGCAACTTTAATTGAACGTCAAAAAAATTCAACGGTAGCAACAGCTTCATCTGAATTATCAGTAATAAATGATATAAGCCAACGGAATTCTATTCCTAGACAAATTGTCTTTAGTCGAGTATGTGAACGACGGAAAAAAAAACCGTACAAAGAACTTACACTAGAGGAAAAGGTCCAACTAATTCGTATGGCGGAAGAAAATACCAGTATGAGTCAAGCAAGTATTGCAGAACGATATTCAATAGCTAAAAGTAACGTATGTCGTATTTTACAAAGAAAGCACGAATATATAAGAGCATATGAATCTGCTGGCTTTGCTGGTTCACGCAAACGGAAATTAAGAAGCGATTCGGATGCTTTTAGTATGATTCCGCCAAACAAATCGTCCTTTTTAAAGGTCCCTTTATTTCATCAAGCCAAAACTCCACATCTACCTGGCGATTTGCAATTAAGTATTCATTTAGCAGAGAGCAATTTAGATCCAATTCAAGAGAGACACAACAAAATCTCCGACAAAAATCTTGGTTGGAAAACTTTTTTAAAGAATTAAAGCAATATGACATTGTAATTACGAAATAATTCAATGTAGAAATAATTCTTGAGGACGAATAAAATTGATTGTTAATATTTAGATGGGCCAATATGGGATTATTTTCCTAAGAAAAATTGATTTATAGAATTAAACTGGCAAGATGATTGAATTCCATAAGAAAAATTTGGTTTAAATAAATAACAATTTTTTAATGAAAAATTATAAATTATCACATCACTCGAATTCTTTAGGAAAAACATCTAACAAAAAATTTTATTGCATAAGTTGAATGAGATTATTGCTCCAATTGTGCAAAAATGTAATGTAAATCTTCTATCAGTAGCGAGATAGCCAAATAACTAATGCTGGGACTACCGCCTCGAATATCATGGTTTCAATTTCTTTGGTTGGAATGAACTTACCATTAAAAAATCCAAATGATGATGCCACTTACGTGTACTTCTATCGCCAAGTGGCTCCTCGGCAAAAATTTTCACCATATTGCTAGCCAGTATAACAAAAAATGTTAAGTGCTACCGCTTACTCTTATTCTTCTTAAGTCATAGAAAGAAGCACACTAAAGAATAAGTTAAGCTAATATTTTTAATACGCAACTCATTTGGCAGGACTGATTTTTCTAAAAATTTTTTTCCTGAATCTATTTAGGTTTGATTTCAACTTTTTTTCAACAATATTATTTTTCTTTTTCTGAAAGCTATATCAATTCAACTGACTTCGACTGACTGTTAAAATGAAATCCGTCTACCAAAAAATTGAAGTACAGGTTTACAGCACCAGGCGAATTAATCTTTTTACTATGATGTGATATTTACAAATCCTTACTAATGAAATAAAAATTTTTCGAAAAAAAACCACTTTTACGGCCGGTTTTTTATTCCGCATTCACGAATTATTTAATTATACCTTTAATGGATTTTCTTTCCATCTTTATCGTATTTTCTTGTGCAATTAGAAACTTTTTAACTTTGGCTCTTTTAAATTTTTACAAATCATAAAAAGTTCTTCCATTCAGATAAAAATTCAATTATTTTCTTTTACAAAAGTACTTTTAATCAAATTATCAAAATTTCAATAAAAAATCGTAAAAGTAGCTTAAAATTGAAAGATTTATAAAGTATTAGTTGTGCATCTCCAATGCCCCATTTTAACTGATTTTCCATATCTTTCGAAAGTGGAATTGAAATTAAAGAGCAATTAAAAGTCCCGGTGAAAAATTTCGTTGGCTCGCTTTATATTTTGAATTGTTAATGCGATAACTTCGACAACTTGTAATTTCTTTTCATCTGCTATTTATCCAAAGCGCATTGTTGTTTTACCAACTTCTTTATAAGTTTTTTTTCAAAAAAACCCTTTAATTTGATTTTGATTTGATTGATTTTGGAATATCAACTTTAAACAACTAGGAATCTATTAATATCCAAACCAATATATACTTTGCTCATTTGTTCATTTATTATTGTAATTTACTGTTATATGATCAAGTTAAAAGAATAAAATCGAAATTTGAGGTCTATAAATTATCCACCTTTTCCAATAATAATTTAATATAATCAATGGTTTAATGCAATTTGGATATGAAGACATGACGGATATATCAAACGAATCTGACTCTTCAATCATTTTGATGAATGAATTTTCTGGCCAAAATGAAATGACTAAAAGAACGGTAGAAATTAAGGATACCTGAATAAAATAGTGAGAATAATTGAAAAGTTTCTTATTTAAATTTCCACCAAAAAATGTTATTTGCCATAATTAAAAATTTGTATTCCTGGGTTTTAAAACCAAAATCTCACGTTTTTTTAATCTACATCTAATATATTCATATCCAACATTTTCTACAAAACCTATACTTCTTTTTCTTATAAGTAAGCACTTAGAGGTCATTATTTCATTTAGACTCGCTGTATTGAGTATAAAGTATTGGGCATAAGAAATTTTTGCCAAAGTGACAAGGGAATTAAGGATAGAAACAAGGCGGATCTGCAGCACCATTCGGATTTTTTAATGGTAGGGCTTGTCTCTGTTGGAAACAAGATTTTCATCCCATTCAAACCGAGGGAAGAATTAATGGGTTGACTTAATTTATTTTCCTAATTCGCAAGATGAACTTCATTGGTAAAGTTTTTCATGACCATGTTAAGATATACCAATCATAAAATTACCATTGATCCAGTTTGTTTTTTTCTTGAGATTCATTCAATGTATTTATTGTAGGCAATGAAACCTTACGAGCACACATGTATAAACAACATCAGATATCAAGGATGTTTATGTGTCGTTGCTGTAACTGGGCATTTCCGGATAAAACCAGTCTTCATATGCACATGCAGGTCATTTTATATTTTATTTTATTCATTATATTTTATTTTAATTTTCAAACCCCTGAAGTGAACATTCCTAGAAGTATAGAAAGTAAAATTTCGTTTATGATTAAAGGCAAAAGAAGAAGGAAAAACGATTTCTGTTCCTGTCATAGGCAAAGGGAATCCGCCCACGCAACAATCAAATTGCAATGGAACAGTACAACATAATGGAACATCATCACAAATACCAACACTGCATGCGCCACAACCTCGCATTCCTTCTCTACATAATTCATCAAATCCTCTCATACCGTTACAGCTTCATACTGGTTTATCAAATCATCCTGCTAACAATTCAATAGATCCTGCTGGTGATTTCTTATCAAACAAATTTTTACATCGATAAAATCAAATTTTTTCAATGCAAGGTATAAATATAAATTCATAGAAATCGGAGTCGCCATTACCCCAAAATATAATTAACCACAATAAGATATAAAAATTTTCTGTAGGATATTTTTAAGGATATTTTGGATTTATAAAGAAAAAAAATTTTTTTTGTTATAGCACTTCATGCAGCTGCAGCTGCACTATTTCCGCAAATGGTAATGCTTCGAGGCCAATCGGGAAGCGGAATTGCAAATGACAATATTCTCTCTAAGTTGCATGAACGACTTGTATTAAATAATCTACTTGCTCAATCAGGATTTGGAATAGCAGCATGGCTCGCGAATTTTCCCAGAATGGACTGTGGTGATTCGAAATTTTTCATATATTGCTAAGATTTAAATAATTTAATACACTAATACTGATCAGATACAACATTTTTATCTCTATTGCTTTTCATTCGCAAAACAAATTCTGCAACTTTTTCAAGTGGGGAGAAAAACAACACACACGAAATCCGGATTTAACAAATATAGTCTTCTCGTAAGATTTTAAACACTGGTAAAATATAAAGGAGTTTTCTTATCAATTATTTATAACCAAAAAAAATAGAATAATAAGTTGTGAAAGAATTGCTGAAATGAAATTTTAATGGTTTGTTGATAAGAATTGGTTGAAAAACTAAGTGTGTCGAAAATATTTTGCTCTATAACGATTTAATGAATGAATTATTTTCAAAAACAGGTATTAGTCGAGTTGATACACCAAATGGAGGTGCTAATTCGATAAAAAGTGAACCAGAAATGAACGGTGTCGAAACGGATGACGAGGTCAACGTCGACCGAGATATCGAAGATGATGATAAACAGAAAGATTTAGCTGATATAGTCAATGAGCACGTTTGTCTTACAATGCTTATAAGTCTGGAAATTTATTTAATTCAAACTAAGTATTTGACATCGTAATAAACTATTTTGGTATTACTACTTAAGCTAACAAAATTTTAGAATAATATTCCGCAGAAAACAAACGAAAAAAGTCAAATCAATGAACCAGTAATTCAGCTGAATTATAATCCAAGATGTGAGGAGAAAACTGCCTCGATCTGGAAGTTGGTTTGATTTTTATAAATTATATCCCATGTGTTTATCGGATAAGATTTAGAAAAATAATGATGTAATAATATTATATAATGAATGGTTTTTGACGAGTGAAAATTTTTATAAAATCAGTTTATTTTAAGGTCAAATGGAACATCAGCTCAAATGGGTCTTGTATCAAGTGATGAAAACAGTTTATCGCTAGCACCTAATATAATAACGAAAAAGGTTCCAGCCAAACAATTATCAAGTGATGGTGAAATTACGAGTAAACCATTTGATGGGAAAGCTAGTGGTGATAGCTTTATGGTTTGTTTGATTTACACATCTAATGATGGACTAAATCATACAATAAGCTAGATCTCTTATGTGACTTTATGGATCTTATTGAAAATAATGAACCATATTTATCCTATGGGGACAAAATGTTTTGTTACATTCTTCTATAAAAAATTAAAATGAATAAACTGAGAAAAAAGTTGCTATCCGACCAATCAGTACCTTTCTTTTTCAGGATTTTACCACATCTGAAAATTCACAATGTGATCATTCACCAGAATTTAACAGAGATATTTTGCACACATCGCCATCAGAAACACGTAGTAGCGTCTCGCCTTCCACTGAATGCTGCGATTGTTCTATTTATAAGCGAAAATTAGCAGCCGCTATTAGCCGTTGCAGATATCTCGAAGGCAAAACCGCTATTTTACAAGTATACGAATTCAGTTTGATAAGAATTAATAAAAATTAATTAATTGATTAATAATTAAAAAGAATTGATTAATAATTAATAAAAAATTTCCTTGAATCATTTTTTATAAAGTTTGTAAGCGGCTACTCAGTGGATAATGCTCAGTTTCTTGTTGGAAAAATATTATCATTGTAATAAAATGAAAAATTTTTGCTAGAGAGTCACTTGCGGATGGAGGTATAGGTGAGCCTTCCGCTCAAGGCGGCTTAAGACGTTTAACACGGCCATCCATTATATATGTTTCTAACAAATCATGACTGGATTTCACCAAAATTACGAAGATTATTTTATCTCTCAACTAATTTATTTCAGTCAGATGCATTACGATTCAATACTAAAGTATCATTGTCTGAAAACTCGATACGTCATGCTGAACAAGAAAGTCAAGTGCTGCGCGAACAAAACGAACTTCTCCAGCGAAAACTTTTAGAATGCCAAGAGAAAACATTATCTTTTATGCAAAATGAACAAAACATCGACACTCAGTCTATTGCGATTTATCTAAATGATATACTTAAAATAACATTTTTACGTTAAAGATTCTTATCAGCGGCGATGCTGAAATTCAGGTTGCACAACAAATTTGAGTAAGTCAATCGAGCAATGCATTTTTCTTATTTTCTTACTATATATTGTTTTTATCTTAAAATTTTAGAATTAACCAAAAAATCACTATAAAATTTCATTTTTCTTCGACCCAAACAGGTCAAAGAAAATGATATTCGCAATTTATTAATTAATAAATGTGCATAAACTAATATTTTAAATACTTTAAATATAATACTTTGAATGCTGCATGGTGCGCAAAAACCAGTAACTACGCAAAAAAGAATTTCTATTCTATTCGTATCCTATCAAACTCTTGCGGTTGGTACCATTTCTCACTGGGGCACCTCCTCTATTATCGAACTAAACTGAAATAACCTTATTAGAGAGAAATTTCGCTAAAGAAATTTAGACATGAAAGAAACTTAAAAACCCAACACATCTTTTACTTGGAATTAGTTTTCTTTTAATTTGTTGCAATATAACTGTGATAACTATACATGTGCATTATTTTTTCATGTCTTTCATCTTCTATTACGTCTTTCATCATCTTGATTTCAAGTTTTTTTGCGTTTTTGACAATAGAAAACAAATGCAATAAATGAATAGTGAAACAACTGGGGCGAATTTAAAAAGCAAATTAAATTTTTTCTCATGAAATATGTCCCAGTTTTTATTCATTATATGTATGTTTGATAAAATATTTTATTGATAATTTTTTATTAATTACGCATCGTTAATGGAAACTTTCAATCTCGATTAAAACGAAAAACATAAGATCGAAATATTATCTTCGAGACCGTCGTGATTTGCTTCGACTTCTGCTTCTGCGACTCCTTAAAACCGATTTTGAAACAAAATATTGAAAAAAGCGATCATTCAATGAAATAAAATAAATCGAATATATCTCCAAATTTTTCACTCATCATGGATTTTAAAAATAAAAAATAAGCATATTTAAATTTTTCCTTGCTAAATTCCAGCAGAAAGGTAGAAATCAAAAATAACATTCTTAAAAGCATAAAAATGAAAACAAACCTCTTTCGACTTGCTGAGCTAGACGATCGATACCGCCGTTTCCTTTTATTCCTAGATGCACTGAAAAGAATACTTAAATTTTTATGCCAATTCGTTTTCTTATTCTGTCCTATTAATGATTACTTTAGTCCAATGTGATTCTTCTAAAAGATGAAAAAACTATATTTATGGTTTCTGTGATGCCTAACACGTTTTAAAATATGGTCATACACAATAGATAGCAAGTTATATCTTTAATGAAAGGACTGTTATATTTCGAAATTTATTGACCATGAGAATTTAATTTCATAGTAAAATTATAAAAAAACTAATTTTAACCTCTTGAAATCTTTTGCATCTACAGTTTTATCTAAAAATATAATCATTAAGATACATATAGTGTAGAACAAACCTCCTTGTTTTATTTCTATACCTGGTTTTTTCTTCAATTTCACTTGATTTATTATCTTTCTTCCTTTTTCGATTCGGTGAATATTTTTCATAGCTGAAAATATCGTTAATATCCTCAAAAAACTCACGGTGTTTCATCCAAAATTTTCATTTACAGCCGAAAAATTTATTTGAAATGATACCTTTTATTAAACGATTCATTCAAAACTTTATCAATTTTTGAATTAATAATTTCATCAATTGCTGCTGCAGCTGACACATCAAGTTTAGGACCTTCATTCTTCGTTAAATTCGATTTTTCTCGCTTGGGCTGCAAAATCACAGATCATTTTCATTTCTAGTATTTTTAAATATTTAAATATTTCAAAATAACTGCACTGCCTCAGAAAAAGGAACTAAGATAAAGAATTATGATAAGGAATCCAGTCTAACAAATCCTAATCAAACTGCATTAAACTCTTACTTCTTGTTCGTTTTTTTGTGTTCGCTCATTTTGTATTCTAAGTTTGGCTAGCCTTTTCTCGTTGAGGATCTTTTCCATAAAAAGACGGGCCTGTAAAAAATACTTTAAAAAAATCTAGTAAAATCCAGTGAACTTATGAATTTATTACGCGCCCAATACTATCCACTATTCTACATTCTACAAAAATCAAATTAAGAATTTCAACCAATTATTCTACATTCAACGATGGTTGTTTGAAGTTATGTATGTCATATGATTTAAAATTGCAAAATAAAGAAAATATTTTTAAAAAACCAACACGCTGTCTGCGCTCATTTTGTAATTCAGCCGAACCTTCCAAAGCTAATTGACCAGATGCCAGTGCCACAGGTGCAGCTGGAGGAGGTGGGATAGTCAGCCCAGGAGGGGGAATCTATAAATAAACATTTTCTTGTATAATATACATAAATTAAGCAATCAAAGTATGAACTGTCCCTATTTTTTCGATGAATTACATATTATTTCCTCGAATAAGAATTTTTTTCCAAAATAATCAAAATCAAGTACTCAAAAATCATTGAACTTCCTCACAATACGAATCCTCAAAAAAATATTGAATTTCCTCACAACAAATCCTCATGATCATTATTATAAACGTTATGTATACATTAATAATTTTAAGGAGACGAAAAGTCATAATACATTGGAAACAACTCCAGCAGGCACATCTAGAGAGGTTCCCGCTTCATCATCATCTTCATCGACACCCAAAACAGCCGCACTAAATGACAATATATTAATAATTTCTATTGATGTATACTATAATTTATACCATAAAACTTCTGTTATAAAATGTTCTAAATTTATGCCCTCATCTCTCATAATCATAATCATGTATTTGACTCAAACACAAGCAAAATCATGCGATGACTATAATTATAATAAAATTTAAAATTTCGGAAAATGGAAAAAAAATGTTGGAAAAATTAAATTTTTTGATTCCATAGTGAAATATATCAAAAAAAATAAAAAAACTGATTATATCTATTAATTTAGATAATCTTCAGCGATTGGAACCTTGCCAATGAAATTTTTCATTCTTCTAATAAAATTATCCTTAAAAACCATATTTTTCAGTTATGTCCGAGTAATACAAACGACAAATATACTTCAGTCGCCAAATGACCATGGGAAAATCTTTCTTCGTAATAAGCTAGCCTAAGGAAGAAACAAAGCGCATTTTTTTTATGAAAATATAAAATATAGTCACCAAAAATCATGATAATGCATAATTCGAGTTAAATGTTAAACTTTAGGCTCAGAATATTTTTATAATCATAGAGCAAGAAAAATTTTAATTTTATTTTTATATAATGGAAAAAAAATGACAAATTCCTTAGATAAACTGAACTTAAGAAATCCAAGCTTGCCTTGCTGAAAGAGGAATCTGATCGTCAACCTTTGAAGTGATAAGAGAAAATGAAATAGGAGCAACAGAAGATTTTTTGAATGTACCAGGATCTGAACATTCTATTGATGTCCCCTCCATAATAGCAGGCGATGATTGAATCTTAACTATCTGTAACATGCGTTAAGAAATGATTCAAAATTTTGAATTAAAAAGCGAAAGAATTTAAGGGTAATTTTTCAATTTTCATACTTACTTGGTTTGGTGGATCATGAAATCCCCGTCTACGCATCCTTCTGTTTAAGACAGTCGATAATGACGATGGCGGTGGTGGTGGATTTAATAAATCTTCCAGTTCGCTCTCATTCTTTGAAAAGCTTGAGAAATCTGCAAATTTTTTTCAAAACTGAATCATCAAGAACGTTTCACTAAATTTTGTTAAAGTTTATAAATAATCAGTTAAAAATACAGCTCCTTCTGTTTACCTTCCGTTGTAGATTCGACATCTGTTTTTTTTTCTAAAGCCTGAAAATAGTGGAAAATGAATTTTTATTTTGCATAAATTTTCCTAAAAAAATATTATGGAGAAGATGCAAGTAAATTTAAATATGACAACCATTAATACTGCAATAATTTATAATGAACCTGATGACGTGCAGTTTGTGCCTCCATTGCACATATCCACTGATAATGACGGATTCGTGATTGATAATAAGAATAATAGGGACTTGTTGATACCAAAAAATCCATATTTAAATCTGATCTACCTAAAATTTTCATGAATTTCCTTCAAAAATTGAACTTTAATGTATATCTCTTCTACAAATGAATACAAATAAATCATGATAAATCTGCCTACGACAGATGTGCTACTATATAACAAAAAAACTGGATTATTCTAACCAGCCAAGTGGTACTCTGCTTCACATCCATATCTTGCTACATATTCCGCAGCTGTATTAACAGCTACAGTTAAATCCGGTGGAGGTGGCAAAACAGTCGGTTGTATCGCGCTTGGTGGAGGTTCACCATAGAATGATAAATACCACTCAGCATAATCATCTTTGCTCATAACATCGTTTACCTCATTCCTTCAAAAATGCAACTACGAAAAAAATGGAAACTGCATCTATATTTCTCCAAAATTTGTAAATATTTAAAGGACTTATGAAATAATAATCCCAGATAAAAAATTGAATGAAAATGATTTTACAGACTCTAATGATTTTGCAGCTGTAGAACGCTTTCGTACGATATCAGCCAGACTATTGAACAATGATGAGTACATATCATTTGCCTGAACACATTTATTCAAATGATGATTATAATTATTCCACATTTTATAAAAATCACTATAAAATTTTACCTTCCCTAATTGGTATTGGATTTTTGGAGTTGATGACTTCGGAATTTCTTGCTCTTCTTTAGTTTTTGGTCCTATCAAAGGAAAATCCTTATATTCATCCATATTACTTTTTTTTCCTCCCATAAGAAGAGGATGAAGATAATGACCATCATTCGAGTCGGAATCGTCATCTAAGTAAAGAATAAAAAATAAAATCCAGAGATGACGAAAAATATAATATAATTAAGATATAAATTAAAGTTTAATAATAACTTAAATCCTGAGAAAAAATTACCTTCGCTGATGTATGCAGATAAACTGCTCGCTAAATTCATCTTCGTCAGTTCTGCTCTTTTTTCTTTTTCCTCTTTTAATCTGGCCAATTTTTTTGGTTTTGCACGCTTTTTTGGAGCATGTAATTTAGGATTATACTTCTTTTCGCGAATCATTTTCGATATATATTTATAATATGGATTGAGAGGATGATCAAACTCCAGAAAACCAAACTGCAAATTCATATGGCAGCAATAAAACATTTCCAAGACAAAAAGAAATAAGATTATTTCAGAATCAACAAAGAATTAATAAAATCTGGAAATCTCACCTGTTCCATCTTACCACGCTGTTTTGCTTTTATTACTATTTCCATTTGAGCACCTTGCGCGACGACAAACATAGCAGTACGTTCAATAACTGCATTAATTTTCATTGATTCTGGCTATAAACAAAATTTAAAATGTCACTCGAAAATTTCTTCTGTAACAAATCGAAATCGAAGACGATTTGAAACGAAGATTTAAACAAAAATAAAAAACTTGCAAGATTCATCCCAACTGGTAGTTTAATATTTTCGGGAGGTTGAAATGGTTCGTCAATTTCCTCCTCACTGCTGCTACTTTCTTCTTTTTCTATATCATATTTGAATATGATTTCAGCACGATGACGCTTGTATGCCTCTTCTAATATATTTTGAATATATATATAACTTTATATAAAACCTTACTTTTAAGTTTATGCATGATATTATATGTATTATCACTAAGATACATCTCTAAAACTAAAAATTAAAGTAGTTTTCTTTCGCAAACATTTGTAAACATTAAGCAATTAATTTTCAGATATTTTTCCGAAATAAAGAAGGAATAATATTTATTACACTGTTCATATTAAAATATAATTCATTCGTTCATTTAAATATACCTTCATCTTTATGAATAATATCATATAAATCTCTGTAACGTTCTTCCTCACATAGTTCTTCTTCTAACGCCTCAGTAGGACACTGGTCTACAGGAGCTGTTTCATTGTTTTCTGCTAACAATATATATTCATCGAATTCCGCAAGATCATTCAAATTAAGACGACAGTCGTATCTGCAATTTTTTTTATAAATTAGAGAAATTATGAAATTGTAGGACTGATTTTCATCGATAAAAAACCGAGAAAAATGAAAAAACAAATTTAGTAAGTACGATATATGCCCACACAAAATGAAAATAGAACGATAAAACTCATACATATTCGAAGTTCAACATTTTGATTACAAATCTCAACAAAAATAAAACATGAAGTGCGAAAAAAGTCCTTTATTACTTTAGACTTACGACTTGTCCAAGCATGTCGTTGGGCCCAAAGGGCATTACAGCAACAAGAATTGAGTCCGGCTGAAAAATCAGCGTTTGAAACATTTATTTAAATAGAGTAAAGTAAAAAAAGCCTAAAAACAATTATCTCAGAAATTACAAATAATACCATTGATAATTAAAAATGAAGAGACTAAACCATCAACAGTGAACTTTGAAATATAATGTAATCCATAATATAATCCATATAATGATCTGTTTGACCAGATAGCCTCTTTCTGCTTCTTCATAATATCGACTTATCGCCACCTTTTGACAAAAAAAAATTTTGTTCAATTCCCCTTTTTCACCCTTATCCTCCCTTTTATCTGGATTTTCACCCTTGTCCTCTCCTTTATCTGGATTTTCACCTTTATCCTCCCTTTTATCTGGATTTTTCCCCTTATTTCTTCCGCCAATATTCATTTCTCATAGCTTAATTTTTTCTCCATTATAGATTTTATTCAACGAAAATCAAAACTTAGAGAGTTTCAATATAATGATAATAAACCTAAACCTTAAAAAATTATATTAGATTATAAATTATATTAGGATTATTATATCAGATTCCAAAAAAATAAATAAACGAATGAATAAACTAAAGGCCAGATACTTATAAATTGTTCAATTTTCAAACAATTTTCAAACAAATTTTCAAACAATTTTTTTCTAATTAATTTTTCCTGTATTCAACCAATAGAACGTCCATTTTCCAACACCAATCTCTTTTAAATTATTTTCAAAAAAAAAATATATGAAATATACACACTCATCCATAAAACATTAAAATTTGCAGCATCAAAATAAATCTACAAAAATCCCATTTCATCACCGATAGATAAACCAACACAGATGATACAGCCAAATATGATGAGTTTAACTTGGCCTTCTTCCTGGCAGGCACATACCTATCATTAAGAAAAAAACCGAATGGTACTCATGCGTTCATGATCCACCAAGCAAAACCGCCTCAATCTGCTAAAAGCCACTATAAGCTAACAGAAATTTCGAGGCCAAATTTTTTCGTAATATCATCTTTATTAATACAATTATATCGTCTTCACCAGTATTAAATCGTTTAAAATTATAACACTCTGTCTCTTCACTGACCTTTGTTATGGCCATTTTTGAAAAAGAAAAAATTCAAAAAAACAACAAGAATCATTAAATAAAATCCTATCTTGTTTGCATCCTTTCGTTATATGAGTAAATTAAATTAAATAAATTAAAAACCAGGCACTTATAAATTATTCAAATAATTTTCCTCAAATTAATACTCTTTCTGTATTCAACCGATAGAACGTCAACTTTCCAACCCCCAATCTCTTTCAAATCATTTTCAAAAAAAAGTATATGAAATATTATTCTTCTATAAAACATTAAAATTTGCAAAATCAAAATAAATCTATAGAATTCAAATTAAGATATTTTTAACAATTCATTATTCAACAAGAATTATTAAATGAAATTCTATTTTATTTACATCCTTCCATTATATGAAATTTTCAAAGCAATAAATAAATAAAACGCAAAAGGTACTTTATAAAAACTTACATGAGAAATCGATCGTCGTTCCACTTGTGAAACCAGTCGCTAAACATGGAGTTGTTTGCCAGCAACTACTGAGACCTAATTTTTACTAAAATTTTCCAATAAATTTAATGAAACTCAATTGCGAGATTTCGATATTTACCTATCAAACATCAACTGTGGATTATTTCGATATGGTATTAAATGGCGTTCCTCAGCGATCCATTCAGCTTTTTCGTCATTTTCATACAATCGTGATGCATAGCCGAAAACCAATAATTCTTCCTGAAATTATTTAAAGAAAATTATAAATGAATTTATTTTTTAGACATAACTTGCCGAGATTTTTATACTTCTGCTTTATACATTTTACTACAAATTTCTGATTCCACTTTACTTCCATTTCACTTATACTTTATCTAATATGGGATTTTTGATATCTACTCCTTTTTTAGCAATTCATATGCATCTTTCTAAGAGAATTGTTATAAGTACTTCTTACGATTACCAGTTACCAGTACTTCTTACGATTTGGCTAAAGACAACTATGAAATGGATATGGAATGGATATCTCAGCGAAAAATCTGTTGAATCCTGAACGATTAAAAAGTACATAAAAGCGCCTTTTCTGAAAATCACATTGTTCACCAAATTTTCAGAGATATTATCATACTCTCATTCAAAAATTCTCGAAGATATAGTTATCAGCGAATTATGAAATGGATCAGCGACTTTCAACAGACTCCCAAAAAAATTCATATCTTATCAAAGATCCAAACCTTCAAAAATTCACCAGAGGATATCGATATCGATAAGCTTTTGAGCTTAAAAAATCAGGTGATTTAGAAATTTAACAAACTGCTTTAGTTCAAATCAGTTTCTTCTTCTTTCGCAAACGCACTAATATCATTTATGGGCATCGCATGTAGATGCACATTATTTAGCGACACGGTATATGCAGCATTTGCTGACATGCAGCATCAGCATTTGACCGCATAAACAGCAGCATGTTGCTTAAACTAAGAATCTTCACTTGACAGAAGTCAAAAAAATTCTAGTGGTGCTGCACCTGCCTGTGCTCGGATCTTATCGACACTAGCATGTGCAGCACATTCGTCGCATTCTGCCGTCACCATCACCACTTGATTTCCTCATCACCATAAGAAAGCTAATATAGCAAACCTTTAAATATCCATTTAACCTAAAAAGATCGACGGTTTTATTTTGCGACTTTCTTAAAAAAAATTCCGAAACAACGAACTTACTTCAGTTTGATTACTTGAAATATTCGATTTTCGTGAACACGTACGACCTATACGCCGGCCAATCGTTCCATCCGACATCTTTTCAAAAAAAATCCGTCGTTGTGCGAAATCAACAATGATGGGATAGGAAGCAGCCACCGTACGCAAATCAATCCGATGAAAAATCTTTTCAAGATTTTGGAATTTGAAAGAATAAATATTACAGCACGATATTTTACATTATAATTGAGCGGTTTGCTATATTTTTACTCATATTTTCTGCTTGAAAACAATTTATTACAAAATTAATGAGAGGAACAAAGGTGAATTTTTTGCGATTACTATGATTTATTTATACTCAAATTTTTTTCCTCAATATTTCTTTTTTCAGTAAGGAAAACAGAATAACGGAGTGGAAAATGGGCCAAATTAACGTAGTGCTAGCCAGAAATTAGGCATCAGCAGGAATAAACCTGTCACTGAAGAAACTGAGCGGTATTTGCAACACACCTTTTAAAGCCAAATGTCCCTTTGGCAAGTGTTTCTGTTTGCCAGCCAAGCTGATCTGACCAGTGGCGACCGCTTACCTATTCAATTTTCGGTTAGAAATGTTTCTCGGAAGCTGAAGATTCAAACAATTCATATTTACACGTGAAAACTTATCTATATAATTCATTAATCATGGATGTAAATAATTATATCATTTTATGATAAAAACGATAATACATATGGCGACAAAAAATTCCATAAAAATCCGATCAAAATTTCTTTTAAAAAAAGCATTATTTCAATATTTATGTCGAAAAAAATCTTTCGAAACAAAAAAACTATTACAGAAATTTTAACGGTGGTCGAATTATTACAAATAACACATGGAAACAAGTTCTGGAAGAAGGCTAATTTTTTTACAAATTCAAATCGAAAAGACTCTATTTCCGGATTTCGGTTTAAAGTGATCGTATGCACCTTTTCTTCGACGTCTCATCATTTCGTTTATTAAATTTTAAATCTAAATTTCGCCGATGGCAAATAACTTTGTCATCGCAGTTAAGATGGTGTCATTTTTTCGCTTTTGCCTGGTCCAGAGGTGTTTTCACCCTCAAGCAAATATTCGCCAATATTCAGTTTGATTTTTAGATAATTCAGAACTTCGATAATTTAGATAATTCGTAATAGATTGCTCTGAGATTTGATTTTCTGACTATTTTATGAAAAAACAAGAAAGCTATGAAATAAAATGCGAAATTTATGAAAACTCTATCTTAAGATTACAGAAAAATTTTTACGACTTTTTGTACAAAAAAGTTCTTTTCTTTGACCTATTCTGCACATGAATTTGCTGAAGTAATTAAGAAGCCTTTATCCGTAAATTAGATGTACATGAAATGATGAGAAGAGAAAAAGGCCATAAGATCCATTATCACTAAAGCATAATCGTCTAAAACCGTTCGGCTGAAAATTGCCAAATGGATATACTTTGATTTAATAAAATCATTATGAGAGAATCATTTTTCACCTGTCCAAAGTTATTTATTAGCTTTTGATTTGACCCAAAATATGGATAAAGCTATGGACAATTATATTGCACAATATTGCGCCAATGAAGTTTTTATCTTAGTATATAAATTTAGAAATATTATTTGACCTTGTGAGTTATTTTATAACCGTATTGCATGCAATTATATATAATTTGTAAGATTTAGAGCACGAAGGAAAGAATATTTCTCGCTATTCGAAATTAATGCACCAATCACCAATTAATTTAAGCCTTTATAAATCGAAAGATTTTAATTTTCATCTCCAACTACCCATTCGTAATAAGCAATTCTAACGCTGATTATTGCCTTCCTTAAAGGCTTAATTATTTAATTATTATTATTGTACCAAAATGCATAATTTAGCGACGAAAAAATACGGAAATAAAGTCAAATTGAAATCACTCGTCTTTCATTGTTCCTGGCATCATTAACTGTGAACTGCATGACGGATCAACTGAAGACCGCTGTTTTTGTTTTTTATCCTTCATCCTTCGATTCTAAAAATTGTAAAAAATAAATAAAAGTGAAAGAGCAGTGGCCATAAAATATAGGATAAACAATATAATTCGCTGGTCTCAAGCAAATTTTGGTTCTTCTTCTTCTAACAGCTCTCACTGGTAAAGCTGGCACCAGCTGACAACATGTTTCCAAGATGCGCGATCTGATGTCATCGTCGACAGTGGTAGAAGCCATTCCTTTTTCTATCGTCTAAGTCCATATTCTATTGATCTACCTATACTTCCAAAATCCTTCCTGACTATATCAGTCCAGATCTTAATTGGACTACCTCGTTTTTGACGCCACCCATCACAAGGTTTAGCAAGTAACGGAATATGTGTCAAATTTCGTGGTGGGCGACGGAGAATCTGCCCTAACCAACGAAGACGACGTGATGGTGCTGTTAATGCAAATGGCAAGTGGTATTCGATGGAAAGTAGATACGATCATGTGAGATTTATCCACTCAGCGGACCCATGATCAAAGGTATCAGATACCTTCTTAATATCCTTCACTCTCATTGACCATGTCTTGCAGCCATACAGCAAGATTCAGCAAATCGTAGCAGACGTAGACTTACGTTTTTATGATGATTTCGCTACGGCTCCATAAAGATTTCGTCAACCAGAAGAAAGCATTGCTAGCTGCCTTATCCGGGTTCTGATTTCGTCTTTTACCTGAACATTCGGCATTAGACTGGAGCCAAGGTATTAAAATCGAGCATTTCTTCAATAGGCAATAAGTTCATTAAAAAGTTCATTAAAAATTTTATCAGCTTCTTGCACATAAGACGAAAAGACTTTCGTTTTATTTACATTGATCCTGAGTTCAATTCTCGCTGCAGTTGCTGACATTATTTAGCGTTGTTTGCATTTCATCATAACTGTCAGCAAAAAAGGCTCAAGATCTGTAATATGATGCTCCAGACTGATTTGGACACCTCTTGAATGCCGACAAACGATGTCCATTACCCAATCTATCGCATAGTTGAATAATGAAGGTGAAAGGATCCTTGACGGACACCAGTTCATATTTCGAAGGAGTCTGTCAGTTCCCCATATACGACAGACCTATGCCGACGTAAGCTGATAAAATGCCTTTATGAGTCAAATGAACTTCTTTGGAACATCGTCGAGTTCTATCATCCTCCAAAGCGCCGTTCTTTTAATTAGATCAAAAGCAGCTTCTGCGTAGATAAAACACGTAACAATGACAGATATTTGAAGTGATGTTCCAATACTCTTCTTAACGAATCTGATTAGCACAACCGCGCCTCAAATCCAGCTTGATTAGGGCTACATCGTGATGTCCAGTACTGCCATAGGTCTACTGAGTAGAAAGAGAGCAAAAATTTTTTCTGAGACATCTAGTAGACTGATTGGGGATAGAATGGCTCAGTGGGTTGTTGCTAAATTGTTGCTAAATTCAGAGCGTCGATGCTGAGGTTCGGTTCCCCGCAGGAGTAAACCTGTACAAAAACCCGGATGATGCTGGCGACTCACCTGTATTTCCAAAGTACTTTTTAGCATATTGCTCAATATGACAAGCCAGTGGAGTGAATTTAACCAGTAATGGTGAGGATTTTTAAAAAAAAAAAGTAGGCTGATTCCTCGATATTGACATAGTATGTCCCGTCAGCTTTCTTAAGAATTGGGAGCATAATTGCTCCAGTCATCCAGTAATATTTTTTTTCATACCAGAAAGTGCATTATAGAAATATTAGCTAAAATTTTCCTTTGTTTTGTTCGCAGTATCAACTGTTAACGGTTTGGCTTCAGTGGAATTAAGATAAATAAGATCTTTTTACCACAGAAACAGTTGGTAATAATAAGATAGGTATTAATCGATGGTTAGTACGAGTTTTATTTAAAAAATCTAAATTTGCAAAATGCGTTGTGATAAAACGATTTCTATACCATTAGCAGATGCCAGAACTTCCATCTATACTGGCTAATTTTTTACCAAATAACGCTTTATAATTTAGTTAATTATGTGAAAAATAAATAACATCAGACCTTATTTCCTTTTAAGAATTAGCTGGATTTCCATTATTAACCCTTATGGAATAAACCTCTTCCTATCGAGTTAAAGTGCGAAATGGAGAAGGCATCACCTGGAACCAAATTTTAACTTGTCTTTCTGAAAGAACCAAGTTTCTCGCCAATTCCCATCGTTTTTGCTTGCTAACATAAGTATTATATAAAAATTCCTTCTCTAACTCCAGCGTTTGGTATTTTGTATAAGGTTTTCGCTTCTTCCTTGAGGAAATATTGCCAGTCCAATCAAGAGAAGGATCTGGAAAAATATTTTTGAATGAAGTTAAATGGTACATAAAATAATATTAATTAATAATATTATTAGTTCAGCTTATAAATCTAAAGTTCCATTAAACTAATTGTGCTATAAAAAACGGCTGACCTACCTGTAATGCTATTCTCTAATTATTCCCCAATGAAAGCACCGCCTAAACCAACTATTTTGGCATCATTTCCCTTAGCACTATCAATTTTTAAGAACGAAAACCTTAACTAAGATCTTTTTTTCAATCATTTTATGTCTTATATTTTATGTCTTATATTATTTAAAAAATCTAAATTTGCAAAATGCATTGTGATAAAACGATTTCTAGACCATTTCTAGATGCCAGAACTTCCATCTATACTGGCTAATTTTTTAATAACGAAAAAGGCTTCAGCCTGTGCAGTAAGCCTAATCAGAAATGACTGTAGCCATTTATTGTGCCTTTAATATTTCTCTTAAAATAGGATCAAAATTGGTTTATATTCTATTATTCTCTTTATTATGTTTTTATCCAGCTTTATTTAAAGCGGATTTAAAAAAAGAAGAAGCTGCAAATGAAACGATTTATAAAAATATGTTTCTGTGTGCCTTTTGCGAATCGTACTACGCAAAATGTGTTATCGATAAATCGACTGGTAACCTTGGTTGAACTTTACGACCTTATCTTTTTTATTCTCGGAAATATTTCATGACCAATTGCGACATGAATAAAATTTATTCGTATTTATTATAATAACTAATAAATAAATACAGATATAATATTTGATAAAGCTACTAATTCTTCGTTTTTGTTTTATAAAATTTGATTATGCATATAAAAAATGAGCGGAAATATAATAATAGATTGCAAAAAAGGTTAAAAACAATATATATAAGACTCGATTACTCCTTTTCTCTTCCCCTTAAATAAATAAATAGTTAACGCTTACTGTCTCTGATTAGAATAGTTCGCTTACTGTTAACTGGCGATTAGAAATTTTTGCCAGAGAGTCAACTGAATTCACTCTAAAGCAATGAATTTTTTATCATTTAAAGTAAGTAGTTATAAGAGAATTCTTCTGAAAATTGCAATTCAATACTGAAGTCGAAGATGAATTCTTTATCGACTTAATGGAGCTTAATGCATTTTTTTTGACAAATGCGCCTATTTCTCTACTCGTTCTATTTCATGATTGATTTTTGATAAATAAAAATCTGGCTAACAGAAAATATGGATCTAGATAGGCTTTATGTGATTCTTAAGGGAAGCTCTATCGCTCGATTAATAGCTCAGCAATTAATAACGAGCAACCTTAACTACTGCAAAAATCACATTTACTTTACATACCAAGAATAAATTCTTTTAAGCGGAAGGAATGGATAAGCTTTTATTTGTCCACCTTCTTCCAACAACACGCATTTTGCTGGTAGACCATTTATAGACCTTCTACTTATATTTTTGTTAAGATAGCATCTCTTCATAAAAGAGCCAGATATATAAGTGGCAGTATCACTCGAGTCTCACTTCAATGACACGCTTTCTCAAAAGAAATAATATGATGGGCAACAAGCCATTCGATTTATTATCTTTCCCTTTCCATTAATCCATTATTTATATTTATATGAATATTCAGTTACCAATTTAGCAGATTTTTGAAGTAAAAAAAAAAAAAATATTTCATTTTTATTGTTGATATCATTTTTAGATATTTTTAGATATTTTAATGTTGCAAGGATAGTTTTGTTTATATTTCATTCGAAACTTCACAGATTGCAAAAAAATTTTGCAATTAGAAATCTGAATTAGAAAAAAATTTCGACAAAGTGAATTTGTCCTTGAAAGTACTGTAGCCATAGCATGTTTCGTTTCGATCTTTTGGAAGGCATTATATTGAGGCCAGACGTTTAAAAAAAGTACTCTGGTACAAGATAATAGAAACGAAACTTCCAAATTTGTATAATTACTAATAAAGCCAATTAATTAAGCGCTAGGGGTAGCGTAGCCAAATGTCTGCTATCTAGGCTATTTTGTTGAACATCAAAGCAAGGACTATGTCTCTCTCTAATATGAGCGATTTAAAAAGAGCACTCGGATACAAATTTATAAAAAATTATCAATTTTTACTAGTGCTAAAGCTGCTAAAGATGCAGTTGCATTTCAGCAATTGTGAGGGTTTTTTAATAGTAACTAACTTTCTAAGTCTCTTATCGTTTAGTGATTCAGTGAAGCGAATCTAATAGAAATGGTAAGCATTGACTATTTACTGAGTCTTTCCAGATTTAAGAATAAATATATGGGCAAAATAATGATCAGCATGTTGTACTTTTATTTTAACTTTCGAATTGAAAAGATTGAAATTTTTGAAAAAATGAAAGGAAAACAATAAAAATACTATGATATTCTATTTTGTAGTTGTCAGTACATTATGCTTCAATTTCAAAAAAAATGGATGTTATAAAGCTATTTGAATGATTGGATTAATTTCTCCATATAGAACAGGTAGTTTTTTATATCGTGATTCACAACATAAAGGACCGAAAATAGAAATAAAATCGAACTGTAATAATTAAATCTATCACAACTTATTTAGTGGCGATACTGAAAAAATAGGTGGAAAGCATAATAAAATAATGCAAATGATGCATTTCAAGCTTTAAGCGTCAATTTAATCTCAATCTACTGGTTGTCACTAGAAGAGAAATTTTTATTAATTGGTTACTTAGGAATAGAACTGCAAGTGGATCACTAACATCAGTCGGATTTCTTATTGCTTTGTTTCTGCCAGAAATAGTAAGTGTAAGCTCTAACGATTGGGAAGATAGCTTGAGCAATAACCACTTGGCTATTCTGCTAATTCAAGCAAAAGGACTCTTCACTAGTACATCGATATTCAATAATTACGGAACGAAAAATCTGGAAGCAATTTTTTTCTATTCTATTGTTTCGAATATAATTCAATCTATTTAATTTCGAATATAATTCAATCTCCTTTTACGTAACGATTCTATAGAAGAAAAATATATGAAATGGAAATTAATCGAATGCAATCGATCTATTGCAAAACTATAAAAATTGTATACAACATATTATTTTAAAACACGAATATTTCATAAAAATTTCAAGGCGACAGCAATTAATCAACGTGCCAGGTTTTAAGAATTAATGGTTGCATCGAGCCACCGCTATTACATCTTTTCGATTAAAAAAGTAAATCCAATTGATTAATTTAAACCATTTTTGAAACATTTTTCCTGCCATTGGAAAAAATTGATGAGAATTTTATATTTTATTTCTTACTCAGTAACTGGAATTCGGAAAAAATATATAGTATTTCATGTATCATAATTTAGCAAATAAAATAATAAGAAAATGAAAAAAGAAATGCAAATTAAGATTTCCGGGAGAATAATCGTTTGTTCTCTAAAAAATCGTTTGTTCTTTTTATTCTACACCAGACTGCGTTTGAAAAACTTTAGTCTGAAACTTTGATTATCTATCTTAGATGAACTGGCAAGTGAATTTACAGCAAAAAACCGAATCATCTACAGGACAACAGAAGAAGGGTTTTGGAGTTAATAAGAATTATATATATATATATATATATCCATGTCTAGGGTTTTCCAAAGCATTTATTTCTAAATTCATCGCATAGCCTAAAACATATTAGTAATATATCGCAGTTCATAATATTGTATATGTAGATTGTGGTAGAATATATTCTTTAAGCAAATATTTATAGTGTGGATGCTTTTTTTCTAAAATTTTTCTTTGGGTTTTCAGGCCTTCTTTAGGCGAATAAAGTAATTTCATTTCAAGAAGAAGTTGGAAACGGACGATAAAATAAAAATTTAAGACAAAAATTTAATGGCAATTAAAGTTTATGACTTTAGTAATAATATGATATTAAAAAATCCGAGTGCTATTAGCTGTCTACGTATTCTTTTAACTTTAAGTAACTTGGCAAAATTTTCTTATCATGCTAACAGCTATAGGACCGAGCACAACTAAGAATGGTGAGCATTAACCACTTATTCATTTTTATTTAGTTTACTTATTCCTGTATAAAAGGAATATTGTTCAGTCATCAGAAAAATCAGCCTCAATAATTCCAAGGTGTAAGAACCTATTTTTTTTATCATTAAACTCATGGAAATGATAGTTTTTTCGATCAACATTCCATATGAGGCATATATAATTGTATTAGAAAACAAGGAAAAGGAAAAAGTTAGGACCACCTCTACTTCGATGGAGCTACTCGCTGTCTTTTACGCAACATGGATTCGTCCTTTGGTAGAAAACTCTCAATTAGAAGAGAGAATGGTGCTTGAATCCTTAGTTGCGTTTTTGCCTTTAAACTTTCTTTCGATGAAATGACTAAAAATTTGGTGAAATCTTATGTAGAAGAAAATTAAATGGCAAAGAAAAAGATTTTTTATAAATCTTATAATAATTGTATGATAAATATATGAAGCGAGAGCGGCAAAAATCAAATTATCAAAAGACTTTTTTGTGGAAAACTTAAAATTCATGTTATTACAAAAACATCGATAAACATGGGAAAAAATTTCAAATTTTCAAAGAGCTATAACTATAATGTGGGGCAATTTTTGATGTCGTTTTGCTGTAGTAGAATTTTCGTTGGTGATTGAACGCGTTTCTATTTTTTTCTGCGAATATTTCGTAAAATAAATGGCAGGTAACCATAAATATTGATTTTTCTGCACTAGAAATAGTAATCCTAAGCTATCAAATGATATATAGTTAGTAACCTCAATAAGGTAAAATATTCCGCAACTACATATCACAGTCTGAGTATCTCAAATTCCAAATTTATTATGAATATTTATTTTATTTAATATTTATTATTTACAAGTGCGTGATGCCTAAGTTAGAATAAAATTAAAATAAAACTGTTATTTACTTTGTTGAGTTTAGAATTCCAGCGTTTTATGAATATCCACACACGTAGATGAAACATACCAGCATATTCGTCTAATTTTATAATAAGGCGCGTATGTAATCTATCACCTAACCGAAAGATAGTATTGAAA